TGCCTCTATGACAGGCCAGGTACTTAGTACAGATGTGATCTCACTTAATCTGCACCTTTTGTGGTAGGTATTATTATCCCCATTCTCCAGAAAAGGAAACTGAGGCTCATAGACGAAAAGTGATTTGCCTAAAGTCACAAAGCAAGTAAAAGGCAAAGTTTAAAGCCAGGGTAGGGGCCAGGGGCTGTATCCTCACTGGCTGGTCGCATTGCCTGTGCCTTTTGGGGCAGGGATGTATCCTGAATGTTACCCATCTACACGTGGGTGTGTATACAGGTATGCAAGAATGGTTTTGATCACCCATCCCCAGGCCCCTGAAATGCAAGGGGTCGCCAGAGTCAGCTGGTAAAGCTGAAGTACCCCCACAGTGATCCTCACCCCACCCATCTCCTCTCCTGGCAGTGGAGCCAGGATTCTTCCCCTCCTGGGATAATAACTGTTCCTCACCCAGACACAGGCCCAGCTGTCCCCCTCCCACTCAACAGCTGACCTAACACCTGCCTCCCTCCCCTCCTAATTAGGGAGTATGCCTCACAGGGGGCTGGGAGGCAGGGCTCTAGGATATTCATCTACCTCGGCTGTTCCTCTTTATCTTCCTGGCTGAGCCTCAGGTTCACTGCCTACATCAGGGTATCACAACCTCGGCACTACTGAGGTTCCGGACCTCATCATGCTTTGTTGTGACAGTCGGTCTATCCTCTGCTTATAGGACCGATAACAGCATCCCTGGCTTCTATGCACTACATGCCAGTAGCACCAACCAAAAAATGTCTCTGGACATTGCCACATGTCCACTGAGGGATAAAATCAACCCCAATTGAGAAACACTAGTTTATGCTAATGCACCCCCCAAAGATGCGAGAACAGAGGGAGAAGAGATAGAAAGAGAGGAGTTTGGAGAGTTCATGGGGCTAAGAAGGAACATGAAACTAGATATAAACAAAGCAACCCTGTGGCTTCCCACTCACCACCTCCCACTCCTGAGGCCCCAGGAGTCCAACCAGTGTCAGAATGAGTGGCGTGCAGAGTAGCTCAGGCCGAAGATTCCAGAACTAAAAGTTTAAACTCATCCCAAGACCACCCCCATGCATGGCTGACGGGTACAGACACAGGACCAGGCCCACTTAGAGAGCTGCCAAGTCTAGCCCTACACTCAGCACACATAGCTCAGGGCTAGGGCAGCTGGGAGCCAGGACACACACACTCATTCATTGATTCATAGAATAATGGCATGGCCCTATACAGCCTCACCCTCTTCTTCTCTACACCACCCTGCCTCCCAGCCACAGCCATGAACAGCCAGGCAGGCCCCAACCTCAGTCCTGGGGGCACAGCAAGGCCACCTAAGGGAGCTGCTGACCATCCTCCCACACTCCACCAGCCCCTCTATGCCTACTTCTCAGACACCCAATCTCTGTATAAACAGCACTGCACACAACCATGCAATGCACATCCTCACCCCTCCAGCTCTCTCTATCTGGATGGTGAATGAGGGGGTCTGCCAGAAACTCCTTGCATTTTTCCCTCCTACAGCCACCCTGGCAGCAGGACCGCACTTACTTTGCTTCATCTTCCCAGAAAATGCCCCCAGACACACAGCAGGAAGGAAGTACTCCCTGCATCCTTCCTCAGCTTCAGCATAAAGCCAAGGCCCCACTCTGGGGGGCGCTGGCGTCCCATTGTCCCAAGCCCTCCCCACACACTCAAGGAACCCAAGACTGCGCCCCCGCCCGCCGAGAGCCCCAGCGCCACTCACAGGACACAGAGCGCGAAGGCGCCTGCCACACTCTCGCTGTCTCGGACCAGGAAGCTGCCATCGCGGCCTGCCCGGGCCAACAGTTCCTCGGCGGCAGCGCGGCTCAGGTCTCGGTGGTACCAGGCAGGGGCCGGGATGCCCAGTGCGCCCCCCGGCCCGTTGCCCCCAGGGCCCAGCGCCCCGCTCGCCGAGGCCATGGCCGGTGCAAGTCTTAGCGCCGCCCGCGCCCCCCGCCCCCCGCCATACCCCCAGCACGCAAGGGGCTGAGGCTGGGGCTGGGCCCGGGCCGCGGGCCTGAGGATCGGCGAGCCGGCCGAGCAGGGGATCCGGGCACCGCTCTCTGCCGTGCAGTCCGCCTGGTTCGCCGCGCAGCCGCCGCCGCCTGCAGCGCCAGCCTCAACTTGAAGAGAAAGAAAAGTTTGTTCAGAGGCGGCGGGGGAGGGGCAGGAGCGGAGCGCAGAGCTGGCCGCCGGCCTCCTCTCCCTCCGCTAGGCCCACCGCCCCGAGAGCCCTTGCCCCAAGCTCTTCCCGGCGGTGTTGATGCCCCCGGCCCCCACATTCCCGCCGGACCCTGGACTCCCCAGTCCCCACAAGGGTCCTGCCCCACCATCATCACCCCGAGGACCTCCAACCTATACGCCCAGAGACACCTAAGTCCCCCCATTCTGCTCCCCGACAGTTCGGGAGTCCCAGCCTCATCCCCTGAGAATGAGTTTCCTTCAATAATCGCACTATGACCCCTAACTCCCATAGACGTCTGATTCCACCCCAAATCCTTTTCATTCGGCTCCTCCCATAGCCTTGCAGAATCGCGTTCCCAAAACCCGCGAAAGACCCCACGATGCACTTCCTCCCACGCTCTCCCTATCATCCGAGCGGCCCCGACCCCCAACTCCCATAAAATCCAGCCCCCTGTAGACCTGAACCCAAAACTCCACCGGATCCAGCCCCCTACAAACCCTGTGGGGGGATCCTCTCTATAGAGATCCGATTCCTCACAAACCCCCAGACGACGTCCAGTGCCCTCGAAACCCCACGCACCGTCCCTGGTAGCCCCTCTCAGCCCAGGCAAAGCCCTTCCCCCCTCTCAGCCAAGTTCCCTGGCCACTATCCACCATACCCGCAGGCCCGGGCCTTGAGGGGTTCAGCAGTCCGATACCAGCCCCGTCTTGGAGAAAGTTCCCTCAAACCCGTGGGCTCCCGAGCTCTCCCCAGAGCCGCGGCCGCCGCGCGCAGACCCCCACCTCCTGAGCTGCTCCGATGCCCCCTTCCCGGGGGAAGCGGCCCTAGACTCTCAGCGGCCACTTAAGATGGCCATCCTGCCGCTGCACACCGCCCCCCCTCGGCTTCCGCCCCGCCCGCCGCTCCGCCCCCACGGCTCTCTGCGGAGCGGGGGATAGCACCCGCGCCCCGCCTCTCCGGGCCCCGCGTCTGGATCCCGGAGCCACCGACCCGCCTTGCGACCTGGGGCAAGCCACAGCACCAATCCGAGCCTCGTCTTCCCGCTCTGTAAAATGGGGATAATGTTATGAAGGCAGACTCAATGGGACTGTGCTTGTAAAGCTCTCTGCACAGGGTCTGGCATCCAGTAGGCGCTCCCGAACGGCGGCTATTTTTATTATTAATTAAGGAGTACCAAAGGTGACAGCTGTGTAAACTGTAAAGAGCGGCGGCTGAAGGGACGGGTATTATTAGCACCCGCCCCCGCCCCAGCTACTCCCTCCAAGTCAACAAACTTCGGCCTTTGTAGGCGGGACGCTGAGCGGGGAGCTCCCCAACCGGGGTCTGTTCCGACACCTCTGGGCCCCCTCCCCTTCCGCCCAGTGTGCTACAGCAACCTGGGGGTCGGGACGGGGGCGGGGCCCACAGGAAGGCTGCCCCACCCCTTCCCAAAAAAAGACCTAGCCGGTGGCTGCACCTCTTGGGAGTCCTCTTCCTGCCCCGCCCCTTCGCCCCCTGGCTCCTTAAAGGCGCAGGCCCGCAGCCTGGCTCCCAATGTTGCAAACTGCTGGAACGCTGTCGGAGGCTCTTCTTTAACCTGGAGAAAACTTTCGCTTTGCGGAACTGAGAGTCTGAGTTAGTCCAGACGAGCTCCTTACTCTTTTTCAAATACGCATTGACAAAATCCAGCTGGAGCAAAGCCTGGGACTTGGAAGGGGCTCTGTGGGGCCTTCCAAACTAGATAAATATAATAACTAAGAGACCTCCCACGAACCCATTAGTGTCTCCAGGCCCTTACTGGAACCCAATAACTAGCGTGCTACAGTTTGTGCCCGTCTTCTCTCGTCAGTCACCTCTGGTTTGAGAGAAGGTGAGTAGGCCAGGAGGGGGCAGCCAGGGGTGGCAAGGAGAGACCTAGACTAGGGGTATTCACGCCTGATTCTACTTCTAGCTCGAACACCCACCTGCCTGGAGTTCTCAGACAGATACCCGTGCTTTTCTGGGCATAACTGCAGTCTAGATATGGAGACAAAGATTTCCCCAAGAGGAAAGGGTAAGTGGGAGCCTCAGAGATTGGCTCAGGCCCAGTTTTGTGGGCTGTGCAAAGACAGAACAACCCTCCAGGGTAGGCATATCTACCATTTGCAGATGGGGACAAAGGTAAGAGTTTCCATCCCTCTCCCAGCCACACCTCCAGGACACAGCCAAGGCTGACCCAGTTCAAGGCTCTTGAGTATTTCCTCACCAGGAAACTCCCAAATTACCCTCCCCATAAGCTCTCTTCCTCCTCTGAAAGACGTAAGTCCCAGCTCTACCCCTTCAATCCACATCATGTGTGAAATTTTTTTCACCTCTGGACTCCCCATTCCCAGATTTCACATTGCAGAGCTCAGCATAGAGGCAGACAATCAAAGCTTGCGGAAAGGAGATGTCCGCAGACCAATATAAATAACAAGGTCCTGGACCTGCCTCTCACTTTGGGCTACAAGAGCAAAAGGATCCCCAAGAACTATCAATGTGCAGATACCGGGTTCACCTACTTTCTAGGCAACAGCTTCTTTATATTTCACAACCCTGAGAGGAGGAAGTATTATTAGCCTCATTTTAATAAGGAAGAAACCAATGTTGAAAGCAGTCAAGCAACTGTTTTCCTTTCACATAGTGAGTAGCTGAGCTAAGGTTGAAACCCAGGTGTTATTCTTCTAACCTGAAGGAATCCAAATGTTAGGGAATCTCTCCTCCATCCACCCAAAACGTAACAACCAAAATAATTTATCAGTAACAACCAAAATAATTTATCAGACACAATTATGTCAGTCTATTTATTAGAACTGGCTGGCAGAGAAACCCCAAGCCCCACCATAGAACAGGAACTAAATAACAAGCAGGGGGTAATGGACGGAGGCATGCTTAAGGTTCCTGTATTTATGGACCTGAGCTTAGCCGAAACTGGTCCTCAAAACTGAGGACAGACAGGAAGACCTGGATTCAGCCAAGGAGCCAGAGTTGCAGCATCAGGGCTAGGCTGAGCAGGAGAGGCCCAATCCCATGGGCCGTGGCCCTAGAATCCATGGCCGAGGCATAAAACATAGCCACCTCCTCATTGGGGTTGCCCTGGGCCGGGTCAAACCACATCTGGATGCAGCGGCCGCTCCCTTGGCCATAGTTGCTGACTTTGTAGGAGTGACTCCAGATGCCCTCACACAGGGCGACAGGCGTGGGGAAGTAGGACTCAAAAGTGCGGCAGACAGCTTCCTCTGGACACTTGTTAGATCCTGCAGGAGGAGAGAGGGTAGAACAGACATTCAGCCCCTGGTTACCCCAGAAATATTCACGCGATCCCAGATGCGCAAGCTGCCTTTGTCAAAACCCTCCCTCAGTCTCCCCACCTGCCTGGCCCTCACCTGAGGTCCAGTTCCAGCCCTTGTGCCAGTTGGTCTTGCAGGTGTAGGAGGTGCGGCAGTCTTCCCACCAGCTCTGACAGTCCTCTGGGCACAGGGGCACGTTCAGGAAACGTTCTTTGCGCCAGCTCTGGTTCACCTGGGTGGGAGGTGGGGGGGTGGGTGGGAAGGCTCCTCTCAGCCAGGCATGTTGGCAGCCACAGGCTTGACGGAGCCGGAGGGCAGCCTGCTGGGGGTGGGGGGGAGCGAGGCAGATTCCCATACCTGCTGGATCCAGGGCCCCAGGTTGGGGGAGCACTCGTAGAGACAGGTGTCCTGGATGAAGTGGCGCTTGCAGGCGGGCTCCATCTTGCCGCAGTGGTCCCAGTTAAAGTTATACAGGAGGGAGGTGTCCTTGTGCAGCTCCTGGCTGGTGCTGACGGAGCAGCAGGCGTTCTTCTTCCAGGGACTGCACTGCGGGGGAGGATGTGGCACCAAGCCCTTCCCCTACCACAGACTTGGGCCGCATCTAGTCCCTCCCCATTTGGTTCTTGCTCTCCTGCCCCAGGTAGGTTGCCCTAGAAATGCTCACTGTGAGGACCCCTCTTTTCCTGGCCTCCAGGGATTTACATCTTGGGGGACACTCAGTTATAACAACATGAACAGTGTTTTGTGGGAGCCTGGGAGAAACCCTGACTTGCTTTTATTTGTTTTTTTAAATGTCAAGATTCATTATAAAATATTTAAAAACTTACATCCATTGTAAAGTCTCAGCAATTAAAACAACTTGACACCCGCATAAAAGTAATCAAGGAGATCAATGAAATAAAATGAGCATTCTAGAAACAAATGTATATATCTGTCTAACAATGTAATACATGATTAAATTGATAGTTCAAATCAATGGGGAAAATAAGGTATTCAACAAATAAGGTGCATGGACCACTATTACTTGAAATAAAACAAATATAGAGCCCTATTTCACACATTATACAAATAAATATTCAGGTGGGTTAAAATCAATGTGTAAAATCTAAGGAGTTCTCGGAGAAAATTCAAAATAATATTTTTCTTACCCTGTAGTAACATACTCAAACCCAGAAGAAACCCTGACTTGGGAGGACAGTAAACTAACATTTATACTGCTATTGACACTTTATTAACAGTCTTAGATTTATTTATTAAAAATATATTACTGAGGCCCTGGCTGGTATGGCTCAGTGGATTGAGTGCCGGCCTGCGAACCTGGAGGTCGCTCGCTTGATCCCTGGTCAGAGCACATGCGTGGGTTGCCGACCAGATGCCCATCTGGGGGCATGCGAAAGGCAACCAGTCGATGTTTCTCTCACACATCAATGTTTCTCTCCCTCTCTTTCTCCCTCCCTCCCTCCTCTCTAAAAATAAATAAATAAAAAATCTATTATATATACACATATTAATACATGTATATATACCATAAACAACTATATACCATAGTGTAGCATGTTTTTCATATAATATACACATATAATGTGTGTGTGTGTATATAATGTATAGAACTGAGTAACTATTCTATGCAACCACTGTTCTAGACAAAATACAGCAGACAAAAAAACAGAGAAAAATGTGTTCATGAATCTTACATTCTGGTCAGGAGAGACAGACAGTAGGACACTAAAAGAGAAAACATGATTGTAAGGCTATGACCCATTAAAAAAGGAAATCTACAGCAGGGAATGAGCATGTGGAATAAGGGGTGATTGATAAAATCTTAGATAAGGTGGTTTGAAAAGCCATTGGAAGGTGACGTTCTGAGTAAAGGAGGAAGGAGTGAGCGGTGCGGTAATACATTGCTGATAACCGTATTCTTGGCAAGTCTTAAGGTCTGCGTCACCCACGCCACCCGCCAGCGGCTGGGCCAGTACCAGGGCCAGTACCAGGCACATAGCAGGCCCACAGAAACGAGGGCTAAACGAGTAAATTAAGGACGTACTTATGCTTTTCTAATCTAAAACTGAACTTTATCTACCATGCATATATACCACAGTTTAGCGTGTTTTTTATATGATATAGACCAGATTCTCCAGGGGGAAAAAAAACCCAAACAGACCATGAAGTGAAAAGCTGTATTGTACGTTTTGCATTACTGGAGTTAATCACTAATGTAGACAATTGTGTCAACCATGGCAACACCGCTTAGAGTAGCTCATAGCATTTACGTTGCCAGTAGAATACACCTGTTTCATTCTTCCTTTGTAGCTGCCCCATTCATAGTGATTTTGCGCATAAAAGAAAAATGCATTTTTCACAATGACTCCTGATGTAGCCATGCCAAGAACTGGCATGTGGAAATGTAGGTGTTGTATTATAAAGTACTTTCTTTTGGTTTCTCCTTTGCATTACAGGTGGTTATGTTGATATTTTTTAAAATATATGTGCATAGATTCTGTTAGCTTCAAATATCCCTACAGGATAGAAAAGAGAGTTGAAACAGTATTTGTCATAAATGGAGACATGGAGCCTAATATGGTTGCAACCAAGGGGCATAAATATTTATAGACTCTGTGAAAGGACAACGCTGGTGCCCTGTGTACAGTCATAGGAGGCGCCCTGCTTGGCCCTCAGCACTCCATGGGACCGGCCCTCGTGAAAGTAGGACCAACTATCCACCCCAGACCCGGCGGTGTCTGCCCAGTCCTAACGCTGCCCCGCTAGGAGGGCTGGCCGCATGCACTTCCTCTGTGTGTCCATATTCTCCTCCGGGCCCCAGTTTCCTCATTCGTGTCACGCGGAAAATGTGATCAACCTACTCCCAAGGATCACTGGAGAAATGAGATCACGTACATAAAACACATGACACCCAGTAGGTACTCGATACCTGATTATTCCATATCATTGCTGACGTTGCATCCTGTCTGAGGAGGCCACTCCTAAAATCTCCTGCACATTCCCCAACCCTTGACTTCTTAGCAATAACTCAAGTATGGGGAGTCTGAGCCCTCATCCCTTGCGGCCCCACCCGAACTTCCTCTCCCCTGTCAGAACCAGGCCCCTCCCCAATCAGGGCCACACGCCAGCCATACCGTACCTGGTCGTGGAGCTTGTCTTCGGGGCCGGGCTTTGCCTTGTGGTGTTTGGCGTCCATGCAGACGTTGAGCAGGTCTGCCCGGTCTCGGGCGCTGCACGTGGCGGCTAAAAGCCAGGCCAGCAGCAGCAGAGGTGCTGTCCGTTCCCAGGCCATGTCCTTCTGTCCCTGCAGAGGAGGCTGTGGTTAGGGGAACAGGGCCTGAGGGGAGAGAGCCCCATGCAGGGCGCTGCCTTCACCCCTGTCTCAGTCTCCCCCTCTGCACAGTGAAGGGTGGGGTCCGACCTTGTTCCTTCAGTGCTGAGGTCCGGAGGCTGGCGCCCTGGAGCTGAGGTCTGAGGTCCAAGAGGCTGGCAAAGGAGCTCCCTCACTCCAGCCTGGGAGGGCTCAGAAGGGGATCTGGGGTTAGTAGGTGGGGCCTGCGGGACTGTCCCAAGTTGAAGAAGATGTCTTGCGCCCACACCTTCTCTCTGGACTTTACCTTAAAAACGGAATTAAATAGGTCGAGTCCCTGTTTCCTGAAAAGGGCCCCGGACGCACAGCATCCTTATCCTCTGCCCAGCAAGTGCTCTGTCCTTACAGCCTGGGCCACATGTGTACACCCCACCCCTGCCCCAGCTTAGAAACCCCGCTGTCCTGCGGAAAGCAGTGGCCCAGCTCGGCAGAGTGCTCCAAATCAACATGAGGAAGGACCAAGTGGTTTCACTCACAAACAGGATTCTGTTTGCTTAAATGCCACAGAAATGGAAAGAGTGGTCGTTTTTAAGCAGCTTTGTCCCACAGACTTTTTCCTTCCCTATTTCCTGAAAGCCCTTTCCTCCCTCCGCCCCATCGTGTCCTTGGTCTGCTCAGCTCTCTCTGAGGGCTGGACTGAGGCTCCAGATCACCACCTTACTCCTTAAAAACCAACCGACCTACCAACCAACCAACCAATGCAGAGACCCTTGAACTGGAAGGACAATATAAAAGTCTGCCATGTTAAAGGAGCCCACCAGACAGGCACTGAGCGTCAAGAGAGGCACCTGGCAAAAACGGCAGCCCCTTCTGTCCGTGACTGCCCGCCACCCCCATCCCCACCCATCACAGACGTGTTCCTTTGGGCTCAGTCGCGGAATTAGCCAGGAGTTGCTAAGACGCCCGTTCCGCTCCCTCACCGCTCGCACGTGCAGTTGATCGCCAAGCCCTGGCAAGGGTCCCTCTGAAAACCTTCCTAGAATTCACTTCCTTTAACTCTGCGTTTGGGGCCAGGTCTTCCCTCCTCCAGTTGCTTCCCCTTCCAGTCACTTTCCCCACAAGAGCGAGAGTGCCCTTCCTAAAGAAAGACACGCCCCTCTCCTCTGCACAGACCCACCAAGGCGCCCCAGGGCCCCTGTCACCCTCCCCCCTCAGGGCTTCTTGCCTGAGCCACCTTTGCTGCTGGGACACCCTCTGTTGTGTCTGGACCGTCCCCTCCCCGAGCTGATGACAGCTCCGCAGCCCTACCCTGCACTGTCCCCACTGGTCCCCGTCCTCAGGGCAGGATACACTGTGAGAGCCCCGAGTGCGCTTATGCTTCTGCACAGAATGTGCCCTGCAGTAAGCAATTTCAGTTCCTTCTTGCCTGCCTGGCCCCACCCTCTTCAAGGCTCCTGTAGTCTGTCAGCTTAGGCAATCAGTTTGATTTCATCTTTTTATTTGTTAATTTACTCATTCCAAGACCCGCACCTTCAACGTTCATCAAAATCTAGAGAACCCCTCATCTGCTAGGGCCGATCTGAATTGTTGAGGTTGCCCAAGTGGCTGTTATGGATAAAGATACCTTGCCCTGGCTGGTGTGGCTCAGTGGATTGAGCCTGGACTGTGAAGCAAAGGGTGGCTGGTTCGATTCCCAGTCAGGCCACATGCCCGGGTTGCAGGCCAGGTCCCCAGTGGGTGCCACCTGAGAGGCAACCACACCTTGATGTTAATAAAATAAAACAAGAAAGGATGAAGGCCCCTTGAGGGGTGTGAGGTGTGGTGGCTCAGGCCAGGGGACCCAGTAGCAGCTCCGTGCCTCTCACAGCCTTGCGAAATGTCACTAAACCTCACTGAGCTCTTGCTGGCTCACCAGAAAATTGTGGCGATGTATGCCTGGAAAAGCCTGGCACAGCCTGGCACCTACCAAGTAGGCTTAATGGCAAGTATCAGGTTCATTTCTGAGCAGCCAGGTGGACACCGGTAGAAGTTGAGGTACAGAAGTCTAGGGTCACGAGATAAATCATCTCAGGTCTGATGAATGATAGTATCTCACCATGCAACGCTTCTTTGCACGTAATTAAGCAACTTTTGATAGCCTCTAAAAATTGTGGTAAAAAACACATTATGGGAAATGTACCACCTGAACGATTTTTACATGTACAGTTCAGTCACGGTAAGTACATTCATATTGTTGTGCAACCAGTCTCCAGAACTTTTGCATCTTGTAACAATGAAACTCTTTCCCAGTATGCGACTGCTCTCCATTTCCTCCTTCCCCCAGCCCTTGGCAACCACCATTGGACTTTCTGTCTCTTGAATTTTACTACTCCAGAGGCACCTTCTCTAAGAGGCACCACACAGTATTCGTTCTTTTGGGACTGGCTTCCTTGACTACATAGTATCCTTCAAGGTCATCCATGTGTCAGAATTTTACCCCTTTTTACAGCTGACTAATATTTTGTTGTATGCGTATGCCTCGTTTTATTTCCCTTTTTACTCATCAATGGGCACTTGTATTGCTTCCTCCTCTCGGCTATTGTGAAGAATGCTGCCGTAAAATGGGTGTACGACTATCTCTTCAGGACGCTGTTTTCAATTCTTCTGGGTACCCAGAAGTGAAATAGCTAAAACATATGATAATTCTATTTTTAATTTTTGTGAAACTGTCACACTGTTTTCCACAGGTGCTGCATAATTTTAGAACAGTGTGCAAGAGGAAAAAAAGCAGTGTAGAAGAGTTCCAATTTCTTCCCATCCTCACCAACACTTGGGTTTTCTTGTTGGATTTTTTCAAAAATTAGAAGCCATTCTGGTAGGTGTCAGGTGATATCTCACTGTGGTGTTGATTTGCATTTCCTAAGGATTTTTGACATTGAGCACATTTTCTTATGCTTGTTGGTCTTGTGTATATTTTCCTAGAGAAATGGGCATTCAAGTCCTTTTCCCATTTTTAAATCAGGTTATATGTTTTTGTTTTTGCTGGTGAATTTAAGATTTATAATTTTCAAGTATTCTCCTGTCCTGCAGGTTGCCTTTTCACTCCAATTGTCTTTTGATGCACAGTTTTTAATTTCGATGTAATTCAATTTACCCCTTTTTTCTTTTGTTGCCTATGCTTTTGCTCTCAGACCCAAGATATCATTGCCTAATACAATGTCATTAAGCTCTTCCCATATGTTTCTTAAGGAGTTTCAATGATTTAGCTCTTCTGATTAGTTCATTGATTCATTTTGAGTTAAATTTTGTATACGGAGTAAAATAAGGGTCTAACATAATATTTTTTTGCATACAAATATCCACATGTAGCCCAGTACCATATTTTGAAAATGCCAGTCTTTGAATGTTCATTTATCGCTTTGCATTGACTTGACACTATTGTCAAAAATCTGGACTCTCTCCTTTTCCATTGATGTGCATATCTATTGTTAAGTTACTACCACACTGTCTTGATTGATGTAGCTTTGCAGTAAGTTTTGAAATCACAAAATGTGAGTCCTCCAATTTGGTTCTTTATTTATTAAGATTATTTTGGATATTTTGAGCCTCTTGCATGTCCATATAGATTTTAGGCTCATATTGTCAATTTCTCCAAAAAAGGCAGCAAGAATTTTAATAAGGACTGCATTGAATCTGTAGATTAAGTTGGGGAGAATTGTCTTCTGAACAGTATTATCTTCTGATTGATAAACATGAGATGTCTTTCCATTTCTTAGGTTTTTAATTTCTTTCAAGAATGTTGTGGTTTTCAGCATACAAGCCTTTTACTTTGTTAAATATACTTTTTTATGCTACTGTGAATGAAATTGTAATCTTTAATTCATTTTTGTTCTTATCATTGCTGGTGTACAGAAGAGACACAATTGACTTTTATATATTTGTCTGGTATCCTACAAACCTGACGAACTCACTTAGTATTAGTCGTATAATGTTTTTGTTTCCTTAGGATTTTCTATATACAATGTCGTATCACCTGTGAATAGAAATAGTTTTATTTCTTGTTTTCAATCTGGATGATTTTTATTTCTTCATCATGCCTAATAGTCCTAGCTACAACCCTCAGTACAACATTGAATAGACATGGTGACAGTGAATATACTTATTTTATTCCTGATTTTAGTGGGAAAGACTTTTGTCATTGAGTGTGAATTTAGCACCGGACTTTTTTTTCACAGATATTCTTTATCTGGTTGGAAAAATTCCATTTTATTCCTAATGTGTTCATTGTTGGTTTTATTTTCTATCATGAAAGGATTTTGGATTGTGTCAAATGATATTTCTGCATCAATTAAGAAGATCATATGGGTTTTTCTGTTAAACCAACCTGCATTCCTGAGATGAGTCTTACTTGGTAATGGTATATAATCCCTTTTACATTATGCTGAATTCAGTTTGCTGGTATTTTGTCAAGGAGACTTACGACATTGTTCAAAATGGATATTGAGGTGTAATTTTCTTTTCTTGTGATTTTTTGTCTAATTTTGTATGTGGGTAATACTGGTCCTATAGAATGAGTTGGGAAATGTTCCCTCCTTTTTTGGAAGAGTTTGTGAATGATTGGTATTAATTACTCATTACACTCATTAAACATTTGGTGAAATGTACCACAAAGGCCATGTGGACCAGCAATTTTCTTCATGGGAAGTTTTAAAATTACTAATTAATCTCTTTACTCATTATAGGAATATTTAGAATTTCATTTCTTCTTGCTTTTTCTTTAATAGCTTGTGTCTTTCTCGGTTATTTGCTCATTTCATGTATGTTTTCTAACTTGTTAGCATACAGGTGTTCGTAGTATTCTCTTACATTGCTTTTATTTCTGTAATAACAGTGATGTCTCCTCTTTTATTCCTGATTTTAGTAATTTGATTCTTCTCTTTTTTTCTTGATCAAGCTAGCTAAAAGTTTATCAGTTTTGTCAATCATTTCAAAGAACTCACTTTTGGTTTTATTGATTTTCTGTATTGTTTTCTTTCCTCTATTTCATTTAATTTTGTTATAGTCTTTATTATTTCCTTCCTTCCAATAGATTTAGGTTGTTTTGCTCTTCTTTTTCTGTTTTTTTTTCATTAAAGTACTAGTTTAGGTGATTGATTAAGATATTTTTTCATTTTAACATAGGCATTTAAAGCTCTAAGTACTGCTCTAGCTGTAGCCCATAAGTTTTGGTATATTGCATTTTAACTTTACTCATGTTAAAGCATTTTTAAATTTCTCTTGTGAATTATTTTTTGACTTATTGACTATTTAGGAGTATGTTGTTTAACTTACACATACTTGTGAATTTCCTAAATCTTTCTCTTGTTGATTTACAGTTTCATTCCATTGTGGCCAGAGAATATACTCTGTACTCATATTATTTCAGATTTTAAAATTTATTGATGCCCTTTAAAATAGTCTAACATGGCCTGACTGGTGTGGCTCACTCCGTGGGCGTAGTCCTGCAAAGCAAAAGGTCGCTGATTCAGTTACCCTCAGGGCACATTCCGGGTTGAGGGGTTGCGGGTTCCATCCTGTGTCGGGGCCGGTGTGAGAAGCAACTGATAGGTGTTTCTCTCTCACATCGATGTTGTTCTTGTTCTCCTTCTCCCCACCTTCACCCCTCTCTTTAAAAGAGAAAAAGGCCTAACATTATGTTGCATATGCACTTGAGAAAAATATATATTCTTCTTATGTTTGTTGGTGTGCCCTATAAATGTCTATTATATCTAGGTGGTTTAGTGTTGTACAAGTCTTCTCTTTTCCTGTTGATCTGCCTAGTTATTCTATTCATTGTTGGTAGAGGGTTATTGGAATATACCTTTGTATATCTCTCTTCAATTCCAACAGATTTTACTTTGTGTATATGAGGACTCTATTGTTAGGTGCATTTGTTTATTTTTCACTTAAAATTATACTTAATATACAATGTTGTATTAGTTTCAGGTGCACAACACAGTGATTAAACATGTATATACATTACAAAGGAATCACCATGATAATTGTAGTATTCACCTGGTACCATACATAGTTATTATGATGTAGTGACCATATATTACTATGTTTTTACTATATGTTTATAAATATAGATATAGATGATATAGATATAGCCATAGGTAGATATAACTGTTGTTGACTATATTGCCTGTGCTGTAC